GGCAGAGGATCCAGGAGGAGCTCCAGAGGCCGGCCGTGCTGGATGGTTACCCACCCGCGGCCTTCAGGTTGTACTCCCTCAGGATAGGGGGTGCCACCGCGCTCTGCCACCCCTACGGCGCCACGGAAGGGGCGAAGCGCTGGGGGCGCTGGAGCAGCTCTGTCTTCCACAGGTACCTGTGGGAGGGGAATGAGACACCCCGGGGGGTGTCCCAGGCGATGGCGGGCGCGGTCGCGACGGTGCACGTGGGCTACGACGCGGGCCGCGAGAGGCGCCCCGGGCGGGGGCGGCAGAGGAGCGCAGGGAGCGCACCGCCGGAAGCGGGGCGACCGGAGGCGGAGGCCCGAGTGACGAGGAGCGCCCCGCAGGGATGGCGGAGGGCAGCGGTGCTGGCGGCCGCGGTGGCCCAGGGCGCGGCAACGCAGAAGGACCCAAGTCTTGCGATGATGGTGGAACGGGGCGAGGTCAGCTTTGGTAGCCAGGGAGTGGTGGTCACGATCCCCCTGGGCCTCGTGCCGAAGATCGTGGGGACCTTAGCACTGCTCATGGCGCTGGCGCTCGTTGGCCTGTGGAGGTGCTGGTGCGGGCGCGAGAGGGCGGCTCGTGAGCGTGAGGAGCCGGCGGCCGAGTAGGTGGTGCGCAAGAAGGCAAAGACCACGAGGAGGCCGCGGCACGTGACGTGTGAGGTAGGCGTGCAGGGCCCGGTCCACTACACCTGGGTAGGCAAAGACCACGGTGGTAACTACCAGCATATCACACAGGGGTTCAGGAGGGGCGACGAGGTCACCTGGCTGGTGGCAGACCGCCCGCACGCCGAGTGAGCGCCAGAGGTGATGCCGCGAGGGCCGAGGCTCGAGGCGTGGGCAACCCAGCGGCCGAAGAGGCCCGAGGTTGAATTCGCAGGGGGAGCCTCATCGGCCTGCGAGGCGGCATTGCAGGAGGCGCTGTGTGGAGTGAGGAGCGCCATTTTGGCGGGCTGCAGTGCGGCGCGACGCCGCTGCGGTGCAGCCGCGTACGCGCTGAGGGCAGGCGCATGGCGCGTGGGCGCTGTGCCCGGTGCGCCTCAGGAGTGCTGGGCGGGGCTAGCGGGCCAGGCCCCCCCCCTCCAGTGCGGGCGGGGGCGCAGGAGGACGCGTCCCGAGGCTCGCTCGGTGAGGAGGCCAGCCCTCCACTTGCGTGCCTGTTAGCCAGTTTTGACCGCGCGCCCGGCGCAGCTCTGCGCCGGCGCGTGCTTGCTGTTTTTCACTGAGTATGTGTCGCGGAGGTGGCGGGAGCCGCCGCGAGCGGCAGTGGGCGCGCACCTGCAGAAGGTGCACGCGTGTGAGTACGCTCTGCGCGCAGGCAACGGCCACAAAAAATGGTCGTCGTTTGCGTGCATCGCATCAGTCATATGTTAGTTGCTCCTTTCGAAGTTAATGCCGACCCCAGCTCTTACACAACGTGAGAGTTCGGGCGAAGCAGAACGTAAGGTTGTGTTTGGCTGGGTCGTGTTGGAGGTGCCTATCTCTCTTTCCTTTTCCTGGCTCTCTCTCTCTCTCTCTCTCTCTCTCTCTCTCTCCCCCGTCCTGATGCCCATTTTGGCTCAAGTTTTTCCCCGCGTGGCTTGCCCTCCCTTGTAACCCTCCCAGCCACGCAGCCAGCGCAGTTCGCGGCGGGAGCCGCCGCGAGCGGCGCAGTGGGCGCGCACCTGCAGAAGGTGCGCGCGTGCGAGTACGTTCTGCGCGCAGGCAGCGGCCACAAAAAGATGGTCGTCGTCTGCGTGCATCGCATCAGTCATATGTTAGTTACTCCTTTCGGAGTTAATGCCGACCCCAGCTCTTACACAACACCCCACCAATGGTCGCGATGGGGGGCCCAGCACCGATCCAGGAAATCCGCGCGGACCTCCAAAAGTTTATGTGTATGTCGTTTTTGTTTGTTTCTTCCCCGAGAATCGTCGCCGTCGGCGAGGAGAGGCGGCGGTGGAAGAAGAAAAAACGTCATAAACCCAATCTTTCGGAGCTCCGCGCGGATTTCTTGGATCGGCGCCGGAGGCGCCGCCAGGGGGGGCCCAGCGCCGACCCAAGAAATCCGCGCAGACCTCCGAAAGTTTATGCTTATAGAGCTGTTTTCTTCCTCGAGGTCCCTGGAGGCCCTCGACCCCGTCTTCGCTATCGATTTCGCGCTGTGGGCTCGTTTCTGCGGGTCCTGGGGCCCGAAATGGCCCTGAGGGCCGACGAGCCTCGAACGATTCTTTCGTCGCCGTCGGCGAGGAGAGGCGGCGGGCAGGCGCGCCGCGCTCTCCGCGCCGCCCTCTGCGCCATTCCGCCCCTCCCGCCGGCGCGACGGCCCCCCCGGGCAGGCTCGCGGGGGGCGCGGGCTCGCGGGGGGCACGAGCGGCGGAGCTGCGGGGACAACAGGCGACCACAACCGCACCGAGGACACCCTGGGGGACGTCGTGCGCACGCCAACATTCGTCAAACACCGACACCAACTGAGTGCTGGTTGTGGTCGACGTGGGCGTCCCAGGACGGCCAGATCGACCACACCCACAACCAGAGCGTTCATGTCGAGGTCCGTGGGTTCTTCCCCGAGGGGCCCTCCAGAACAAATTACTTGTGGTTGTGGTTCTTCGTTGTGCCCGGACGGAGGCCGTCGTCGTCGTCGTCGTCGTCGTGTCGTCGATTCTCGCAAGCCCAGACATCCGACGCCGAAGGTTTTCGGTGGCTTTTGGGGGCCCCCGAAGGTCTTCGGAGGCCCCCGGAGGCTCCCCAGAGGCACCCAGAGGTCCCCGGAGGGTTTCGATTTGTCGTAGACTGTTCGATGGCTTTTGGCCTGTTTCGGCCTTCCTGAGGCCTCCTCTTCCCCCTCCTCCTCCTCCTCCTCCTCCTCCTCCTCCTCCTCCTTTTTCTCCTCCTCCTCTTCCTCCACCTCCTTCGTCCCTGAACGTTAAGAAGGTCCATGGGGCGCAGAAGGACATACTACTACAGTGCGCCTCGGTTGGAGACGCACGTCCGAACCGAACATCTAGCACAACATCTTGTAGTACGTACATCGTTTCCCGAGCGGTATGGCCAGAAAGCGCCCGACACGAGGCATGCACTACAAGATTTCCGAGCGTGCGCGTCGCCATTGCGTGGCCGACGCAAATGTTAAGTATGTTTGGGTGGTCCCAGAAAACTGGCCTGGCGAAATACCCAACCATATGCAATTGTGCAATTGTCACTGCCGTCGTTGTGAGTAGGCCCATTCGGAGGGTATCCTTATGGGGTCACGAAGCGCGTGAAGGGTGTGACGAAATGTGGCGGGGCCACCATGCGGGCGCTGCCACTGGGGCCTCCGATCATCGCAAGGAAAATGACATGAAGGATGGGGGGCCAGCAACAGGGGCCAGTGGGGCCTCCGGTGGAGCTCTATATGGGGCCACGAAACGCGCGAGACGTGTGCCGAAATGGCGGGTGGGACCGCGTACGGGCGCTGCCACTGGGGCCTTCGGTGGAGCTCCTTATGGCATAGCCCTATGCGGCCACGGACGGAACGTGTGAGTGGGCCGCAGACATGGAAGATGGAACTGCATGTGGGCGCTGCCACTGGGGCCTTCGGTGGAGCTCCTAGGGGGCCACGAAGCGTGCGACGGGCGCACCGAAATGGAGGGTGAAGCTGCATGCGGGCGCTTCGGTAGAGCTCCCGATGGGGAAACGAAACGTGTGAGAGGTTTGCCGAAACGAGGGTGGAACCCATGCGGGCTCTGCCACTGGGGCCTCCAGTGGAGCTCCCTGTGGGGCCACGAACCGTGCAAGCGGTGCACCGACGTGGCGGGTGGAACCGCATGCGGGCGCTGCCACTGGGGCCTTCGATGGGGCTCCCTACGGGGCCGCGAAACGTGCGAGGGGTGCACCGAAATGAAAGGTGGAACTGCATGCGGGCGCTGCCACTGGGGCCTTCGGTGGAGCTCCCGTGGGGCCGCGAAACGTGTGATAGGTTGGGTTCGTCTGGGGGGTCCGCTCTGGAGGGGGCACCGAAATCGCCGTCAGGGGGGTCACGCAGGGGGGGTCGCCAACTCGCTCTTGACGGGCGGGGTTCGGCGGTCAACTTGGAATCCCCGCGCCTTTCACAAGCAAAGACGGCCTAGCGAGACCACGCCGCCGAATGGCATCAGGTGCACGACATTCGCAGCCCAATCCGCAGATGTTCGTTCGATGCGCTGGCAGGAGGGAGGGGGAGGACCATGCGAAGCGACTGCAGGGGCATATAGATGAGACCGAGAGGAATGCAGACACTACAGATGTGAGCATATTCGGCCCGTCTGCGAGTCGGTGGACCCTTCCAGGAGGAGGAGGCGCATGAGGAAAAAGGCTCATAAGAGGAAGGAGGAGGGGGGGAGGAGGATGCAAATCACGTGAAGGCGGAAGACGACGAGGGCCATGAGGAGAAGGAGGAGGAGGAAGAGGACGACGAAACTCATAAGGGGAAGGAGGATCACCCCGCATCAACACATACACACTGATCACTACACTGGGAACGCTGGCTAAGACGTATGTCAAAACATGGCCTTCACATGCTGACGCCCCCCTGCAAACCTAAACAAATCAAGCCATGGCTTAAGAATCGCAGCGATAACATGTCAACGAAAGCGACGACGATGCCGAGAGGACGCGAGCTGTGAGAGGCCACAACACACAATGATGTGAAGTTCACGGGTCAACGCTGGACAATTCTGAGAGCTTGCTTCTGCAATCGAGCGCTTGTCAGAGCAGGTGCCGCTTCCACCTCGATCCACAAACTGGCTCAACTCCGAGCTGTCCAGCTCGATCTGAATACTGATGCATTCCATACCCCGAGCTGAAGACAGCAACAACACAATGCATCGGGCCCTACCTGCAACAGTGATTGCACACACGACTTATGTCAAAACAAGGCTGTGTGTCAATGTGCTGTATGTGTTTCTGCATATTCTAAGTTTGGGGTTCGTGGGATTTGAACGCGGTGCGTGTTGCAACCACCCCCCTAGAAATCAAAGTTCAATTGCGCTTGGCGCGCTTGAAACCCTGCGACGGCTGGACGCTGGACGCTCTGACCTTCCCACAAGCGCTGCCGGTCGACTCGCTGCCAGGCTGAGTCTTCCTCGGGGCTGGCGCGATGAAATCCCCACGCGGCGATCCCCCCGACTGAACGGGGGTCTTCGAGGCGAAGCTCGCGACCGAAGCTGAGGGAGCAGCTCCAGCCGCTTTGAAAGGCGACGACCTTGGCCCCACAGCGTGGGCCTGTAAATCATGAAACTGCTGCCAAAACGCACGCGGCAGCGCGGGGTGGGAAGCCTGCCGCTCGGCCAGGAAGGCCTTGGCCTTGTCTGGGCCATCGGGGCGGTGGCGAAATATAAACAGCAACTCCACACCCTGAATGATCGCGCTTGCCTCCGTGGCCTTCCTCATTGTCGTCTGGGCCACGGCGACAGCCTCACAAGTAATACCGTTATCTTGGACGCGCGGGCTGATGGCAATCAAGCCAGCTGCGTCGGCGAAGTCCTTCAAGGTCTCGCGTAAGGAGTTGTGGCTGGAGACCAGTGGCTGCAACTTGTTCTTGAGCATCTGAGTGGCCATGGCCTCGTTGAAGTTGTCGTCGGAGATGCATGCTGACCAGGTAGGCGTGGCTTTGGCAGTGGCTTCGGTATGCTTGGTCAGGATTGCGGCCATCGCCTTGAGGATGATCTCCTCGCACTTTTTGCCGAAAGCACCTGCAAGCAAGCACCAGCCGCGGATCGTAGCGATGGGCTCGCCAAGTTGCCAGCCCTTCTTCTCGAAGTCCACGGCGACGCGGTCGTTGATGATGGCGTCCAGCTTCGTCAAAGCCCCACGTGGGACTTGCATGGTGTACGTGGCATCCGAGCAGATGAAGGTCTTGTTGAACATGTTGTTCCCGCTGGATCCCTTCTCGATGATGTGCGCGTCTGCGGCGGCCACCGTTGCAACCACGTCGGCGACTGCGCACTTGAGGCTCAAGATGAACATGGCGTCTTCGACAGAGGGCTGGTTGATGTTCGGATCGGCGTTTGTCATGCCTGGCACCTCCAAGTGCGTAAGGACGACTGACTTGGTGAACCTAGCCAGGTGGTCGTAGGCCATGTTGTGGTGCAGCGAAGACAACGTCGCGAGGTCGCCTCGGCCCTTCGCGAAGTCGATCGACGCGACCGCCACGATGCCCTTGGAATCAGCTTTGGGCACGAGGTGGGAGTACGCACGGGCAGCCTCGCAGTCCTTCATAACGTCGCCGTGAACGATGCCCAAGCGCACCTCGGTCTCACAAATGTTTTCCATCTTAGTCTTCAAAAATGCAGTGGTCTTCAAGTCGTACATGCGCTGCCCGACGTGATTGCAGAACTGCCCGAATATCTTTGCCACATCATCGCCGTTGTCGGGCAGCTGGATTACCGCAGCGCCTTTCAGGAAGAACGGTTTGATACAAGTATGCTCATGATGGATCCTACTGAAAGTGCAAAGTGTATTCTCGTCGGCCTTCGGTGCGCTCTCCGAGACCCTCTCGCCGTCCAACCACCAGTCTGGATCAGCGAGCATGTAGAGGTCCTGCAGGTATGAAACCACCTTGTCAATGACCGAAACGTTGTGGTTGAAATTCTTCAGTGCAGACTCGGCCGACGATTCCTTGTCGAACTTCTCATGCCACGTGGGGCCCACCCTGGACGCAGCGACACGGTAAAGCTTCTGGACGTTCAGCGCGAGTTGCAGCACGCAGTCGACGAACGCCTTCAAGCGCGGCCTCATGGCACGCACTTTGGTGTCGATCTCGCGGACGTACGCACAGAGGTGGTCCTTCGATGCGAAAATCGCCATGGCCTCGGGATTCGCACCGTCTGTCTTGGCCGACTGGCCTTGGACCTCGGCGCGGGCCCCCTGCTCTCCGGTAGACACGACGTCCGCGTTGGAGGCCTCGACGGCATTCATCAGGAGGTCGCCGACCCATCCTTTCACAGTGTCAGTGTACACGAAATTCCCCGTGCGCAGTAGCATGTACATGCTGGATATCGCGTTCGCCTACGGTCCAAACTCCAAACTCACAAGGCCACGTAAACTCGCCCACACCTCTGGAACTCAAATCTTGGATCACCCCCTCGCCCCCATCCCCTCGAAATCAAAGAAGGCGACGGGGGTCAGCAGCAGCATGAGCAGCACGATGCATCACATGGAAGAAGGGAGTCTGAGGGGGTCAAGCGCGAATCAGAGGGGGCAGAGCGGACTGCGCCAGCATGACAATATGTATACCAGTTTTTCCATCAAAAAGATTGGGGGGCAAGGTGGAGAGGTTGGGCGGAGGAAGGAGGAGGAGGAGAGGACGAGAGGGTAGGTTAGGCAGGGGGGAGAAGGATGGGGGGGAGGAGGATTGGAAGGGGGAGGAGGAGGGGGCTCTGATAAGTGGCCCTGCAAGTTTGTTGTGCCCGTGGCTCGCCACGCTCTCCATGTGCGTCTCCATCGCGCTCGGCGACCAGCGCTGGAGGGCTTGCTGGCAAGCGATGGCCATCGTCTTGCAGCTCTCCAAGAACGGCGTGAACGACTCGACCGTGACGGCCTTGCCGTTATTGCCTGAGCGCAAGAAGGAGACGGCGCCGTCGAAGATCGGCTCGAGGTCGTTCTCAAATATCTCGAGGCTGGCGTCGTAGCCTTTCGAGGCAGCTTCGCCCTCGAGGCCAGCCTCGGCATGGCCGAGGGCGAACGCCATGAACTCTTCGCCAGCACGATGGGCCACCAGCGCCTTCGCCAGCTCCGCCCCTGGGGACTCCTCCTTCGCCATCGTGATCACGACCTTCCTGGCCCACCTCGCCGCGCTGACGCTGGGCCTCTCCCGCTCGCCCTTCATCGCGCACCTCGCAATGCAGACGACTGCGTCGAGAAGAACTCGGAAGCTGTCCTCTGCAATGTTCGTGCCAACCTTGACCTTCCAAACCTCGAGGATCTTGGTCACAGCCTCCACGGTTCCAGTCACGACCTGGCGATCCATCTTCTTCACGCCTTCGGAGTCCACATTGAAGATGTATTGCGCAAGGGAGTCGCTCACCAACTTCCCTAACTGCGCGAGTGGACTAACACATACACGTCTAGATATCAAATCCCTCGACAGCACAGAGATCTCGCGTTTCTTTGCAGCTGTTGGTTTTGCAGCGCGCGTCTCAGCACCATCGTCGGCCCCATCGTCGTCCTTGACGGCGACCGTCCTGCCCTCGACCGCCCCCGTCAACTTATCACCGTTCTTGGACACCGCATCGTAGCACTCGACGAGGTGGTCGAAGTCGAACTCCTCCATCGCATCGTAGATATTCTTACCAGCCCCAAGGCTCTTGTAGAACGTAGCGTACATCATGATGATCTGCAAGTCGGCTGCGAACGGTAACCACTCATGCTCCATGTACGGGCTGAGTTTCGACATCTTCTCCAGGATCGGAACCAGGGCAGTATCTGCGTTCTCGTCAAACCACGTTTTGAAGAGCTTGAAGGTTTGAATCAACGAGCTCACACGCACAGAAAGCTGGGATAATGCAACTTTGATGTCCACGTTGGCTTGCTGCTCGATCTCGGCTTTGTGCTGGTTCGGGCGACGTTCCAATGCTTGCACCGTCTGCACCTTGAAATCTGGGAGCCACCCAAACTATCCAGTAGACTCGACGTACGAGTTGATAGTCGCACGGATCCGCCCGACACTGATGAAGAGCTGGCCCTTCGGCAAACGCTCCTCGACAGAGAACTTGTTGACGACCAGCTTGGTGCTATCATCGTCAGACTCGTCGCCTGGCTCAGGCTGGGCGTTGCCCAACTCCGCCACGGTCGACTCGGTGTCTTTGGTCGGCATGCCCTTCGCCCGCACCAAGCGAGAACGACCGCCAGTCTCCATGACTGGACTCGGCTCGGGAGGGGGCGTCTCGAGCTCCTGTTTGACACCGCTACCGTTTGCAAGGCCACTTCCATGTAGTTCTTCAGCTCGTGTAGGCTCTGATGCTGGAGTCGCCGAAGCAGCGTGGCCAGGGTGCTCTGGTTGGCAGCCTGGAACTTCGATCTCGCCACTGCTGCCCACCAACTTCTTGCTGGCAACGTCAGCCCATTGGATGGCCAGCTCTTCCAAGGGCACCGTCGAAACGCCGTCCGCAGACACATTGCGAAGCACCCTGTAGCAGTCCACGACTTCTGGCCACTCCTTGTCGCTGTCGGCTGGGACACGAACCGCGCCCGATGGGCCCTCCAAGGGTGAGGAGACCAACTGCTTCAGCTCTGCGCAGTGCTGGCACACGGTCGGGTCATTGGCCGAAGGGCCAATTGCGTTGACAGGCGTGCTGGGTTCGTTGCCGACGAGCAGGGGGACGCTACATTTGATGCAAGTGTTGTGCTTTGCATCTTCGAGGAGGCCATCATCAAATCGCTCGCTGCCCACATCGTCGCAGTGCTGCCTATTGCTCGCGGGCGTCTCGGCGCCGAACAGTTGATCCTCCAGGTCTTGCTGCTCCTCCTTCGTAAGCGTTGCTGTCATGCAGCGCACAGTGCAGACCGAGCGAAACTGGAGGGCGCGTGCAGCGCTCGAGACAATCACGAGGGAATCCCAGCTTGATTCGCAGTCAAACTGTCGCGCCAAAACGGCTGCGGAAGGATGGAGGGAGGAGGAGGTTACAGGGACACACGGTACATAGTGCGTTTGTTTCGGGGGTCGTTTGGAGCTTTATCGGAGACATCATGTCGTACCGTTTTGTTTTAATGTCTTTGGTAGTTCGGGCATCCTCTTTTTGTCTGATCCACCCTTTTGCTTCGAACAGCTGTTTATTTTGACATTTGAAATTGTTGTTGGTCGATGCGTGCTGCATGAGCCCATGCCCCCCATATAATGCCCTTCGTTGTTGCGTTACCTTCAGGGGCGCCCCCGTGGCATTCCCAAGACCATGCTACTCGCCCAAGGTATCATCACTATTCTGGCTCTCTTTTGGACTTCCCCCTTCTCGTGACGAAAGGCCGCCCTCCATCCCTGTGCTCACGTAGATCCCATGAGCCCGTCAACTCTGGAATCGAAATCGGGCGCGCCGGGTGCCAGGCGCTGCCGCGGCAACCCCGAGAGGCCTGCAGCCGAGGGCCCGGTTTCGGGGGGGAGCGGGGGCAGGGGCGGAGAAGGTCGGGGGGGAGGAGAGGGAGGAGGAGGCCTAATGAGGGAGGTTAGGCTGAGGAGGTGTTAAGGAGAGGAGAGCTTGGAGGAACAACTCACCAAGGAGGACGTAGCGGGCGAGGGCGAGGGCAAGGAGGAGAAGGAGACGAAGATAGAAGAAGGACCCCTCGGACGATGAGGAGGTGAAGAAGGACAAGGGGCAGGGAGAGGAGGGTGCGATCCTTCCCTCATGCAAGCACCTTCCCCTCATTGTTCCCCCATCTACTGCGCCAAATCTCAACAAGGAGCCCTATTTATCGGCCATCGGCTCTTTCAGTTCAGTTCAGCATCGGCCATTGCACAGGCTTAGCAAAGGTTACTCAGACAAAACTCTTGCGATGGAGGTCAGCATTGCCCTCGAAACACACCTAGGCACAGGGCGCTGACTGCGTGCCGCAGGGTGGTAAACTGCACGTGCTCTTGCCAATGCGATCGGAAAGTATGGCAATGATCATCGCAACAAGAGGCCACCACCCGATTTCGCGACATAGCTCAAGCCGGGCGGTCAACACTACCTGTCAGGAAGGACCGTGCAACCCCCACCGAAGGTCAATGGCTCTTTTTTCTGCAGTGCCTTGAGGTTGCTCATTTTCACCAAACGCTTGGTGAGGCGGGTGGCTTCCTGATCGAGCTCTAGGAGACGTTTGACCATGGTCTGCACTGCGTGGTGGTCGGTGTCGAGCCTCCGATGGATTGTTTTGACGCACTTCTCGACGCCCTTGGACACGTTCTCTGCCAAGTCTTTCGCGTTCTGTGAGTTCACCCCTGAGACGCGCGCAGGCATGCTGGGCAGCGGCCGCGCGGAACTGATGACATGTCATAGCGAAGGTACCCCTCAAGGACGCAAAACCACTTCGACCTTCTTGGACCGACGGAAGAAGCAAGGAAGCAAGGGCAAACGCGAAACCACCGCCGCCGCTATGGAATATCAGTCAGCCACAGACCCTTGAAGGGGCGAGAATGCCAGGGCGCGCAGAGCCTTGAAACAGGATGGCTACTGACACTGCTGGCGAAGGCAATAATTCATAGGCCAGAGCGTTAAAAACCCTATGCGTATAACAGCTGCAGGGCAGCTGTGTGGGCCGAGGAATGAGGCAACATTCGCATACAGTGTTCTAGAGCGGGAACTCTCGCCACGGCAATGGGTCGACGATGTCAGCGGGCCCCCCCCCCCCCCCACACGGCAAGTTCCGCCGCTCTAGGAGGGGGCGGGAGACGTGGGCACAAGCACGTTCCCGCCATTCTTGCCGTTATTGGGATTGGGGGATAATGCAGCACGTGATCCTCCGACTCCTCTGGGGTCAAATGACAAGCGTGTGGGCCGCATCCTGCATTCTGGAAAGTGCAAGGACTTTCGCGTCCCGAGGGCGCGCAGCCCCGACGCGGGGCCATAACGTTCGAGATTTTGGAAAACCCAAGGACTGCATATCCCAACTAAAACCCAGACGCCACACAGCAACTGAACACGATTTATGGAGGGTGGGTGGCAAGTACGACTTCATGCGCTCGCACGAAACACGGTCACTTTCACAAATGGTGCCAGCGCGCGCGGCAAAGGCCGCTTGTGCACCGCCGGACGCACGAATGCACCTATGAGCCCGCGCCATCCCTAAGAGGGAGGACGCGCCCCCTCCCCCCCGCCCCAACCGCCCCCCCCCCCCCCCGCGCCCGCCGATGTTGGGACTGACATCGGGCGGATGTCGCTCAACAGAAGATATGCGCGTTTAGCCCCAAGGCCAGCGCGCGAGTCTGGTGTTTCAGCCCCCATCCCCCTATCGAACTGCGCTTTTCCAGCGCCGTCGCTAAGTTCGTCGTTTGGGCGGGGGCCGCGCGCAGACTCCAGTTGCTTGCGTGGGCTGCCCGCAGAGCGACGCGCGCGAAACGCGCGCGCAGTCGCGCGGGCAGCGGCCGAACCTTCATCGGCGAATCAAGCCGATCGCGCCATCGCGCATTGGACAACGCGCGGTCGCCTTGCGCGGCCATGCTCGCGGCGACTTCGCCGCTCGCATCAATCAGCGAAAGTTCCTTGACATGCGCCTAGATCCAGGCATGGACAGGCTGGGGCATGGCTCGCATCTAGCACGCGGGCGCGCTGGAGGGGGGGGGGGGGGCATTCTGGCGCTGGGCTAAGCGCCCCCCCCCCCCCCCCCCCCCCCACCCACACCACCACCCCCACCCACCCACCCACCCGCCACCGCCGCGGCCCCATCGCTGGCGCCAAGAACAGCTTGGTGCCCCCCGCTGAGCTTGCGCCTGGGTTGGCGAGCCAGCGCGGCCTGGCTCGCCCGCGCGCCAACCCCGCGTCGTGCAATCGCCGCTTCTGGCGCGGCGCCAGATTCGACCTCGCAGCCGTCGCGAAGTATTGTTTGCCATTGGTATCTGCTGAATTGGCGGTTGCGCCGCCAAGGCCATCGCGCGCCATCGCGCTATAGTTCGCGCCGCAATGCGGCCCCGCGCAGCTGGGGCACTCGCGCCAGCTGCTTTCGGCGTCCGCAGCGCGACGCTGCCCGCGCCGTCGGGCGCCCTATCCGACTTCGCGCGGGGAGGAGGGGGCGGCCAGCAAGGGGGTTGCCGCGCTCGCGTCGCTGATGGCTCCGCGCGCGATTCGTTCTTCAGGAGAGACCAGCGCGCCCATGGTGGGCTGGCGATGACTCCCAGGAGAGGGGCCAACTTCCCGCTGCGACCCGCATGGCTGTAGTTGACTGGCGGGAGTGCACTGTTAGAGTTGACGGTCGACGTCGACTGTTGATGTTGACGGTCTATCGAAGTTGACTGACCTAATTGACGTCTTGACGGGCCGAGTTGACTGCGCCTCTTGACGTCGTGACGGGCCTAGTTGACTGTCGACGTCGACTGTTGATGTTCGCACCCCCTAGTCGACTGCCCTCATTGACTGCGTGTGGTGCAGTTAATTGCACGCCGCGTCTTCGCCGCTGCGAGTTCCCCCCCCCCCGCCGCGCCACGCGCGCGCGCCCGAGCCGCGCTGGCCAGCGCGAGTTGGAACGTCGGCGGCTCGCTGGCGGGCCACGCTAGATCGCAACTGCACGCAATGCAATGATTTTGGTGCGACGGCCCATCTGGCGCGTTCAAGCCAACGCGGTCAACCGCTTCTGTTGGCATTGCGCGGTCAACCGCGCGCGTCGCGGGCAAGCCTCACTGGCCGACGCGCTGCATGTGCGCAGTGATTTCGGCGCCCGATTGGCCACCGCGAGCGGCTAGCGTCTGGTGTCATGGAAAACGCGCCTGGTGCTCAAGCGAGGGCAATGCTGCGGTCGGGACTCAACCCACGCGCGCGCTGTGCGCTGATCTAACCGATTGGCGCGCGATGGCACCGTGGCAGCTCGGATTGGGACGCGGCCGTTGCTGAATCAACTGCATTTCTGCCGCCCGCGCATCCGCCCTTCGCTTTGCGGGCGCCGCGCAGCCCGCCGCGGGCGCGCGCGCGGACGCAACCGACGTGCGCGCGATGGGCCGCCGCGGGCTTCAACGTGCAACCCCGCGCGCGTGCGCGCGAGCGCAGGAAGCAGATCGCGCGCGCGCGAGCGCGAGCGCGCGGGTAGGTTGGCGCGCGCGCGCGCCACGAGCGCGCGGGCAGGCGAGCGAGCGCGCGGGCTGGTCGTTGGTGCTCCGTGGCTAGTCACGCGAACGCTCGCTGGCTACAATTTAGGTTCGGGATTTGTCTTTGAGCGGGCAGTATCTTCTTCCGTTGCAAACCAATGAACGCGACGCGTGCCAATTGAGCGCGCATCGGGGCCGCGCGCGGTGCGGCATGGAGATGCAGCTTCAACGCGGTATGGGGTGGCGCTAACTCGAAAACCCAATGCTGAAAACCCAAATGTAGACATCCACCCTCTGTTCGGAAGAGTGAGCCATCCCAATGTGGAAATGCGACAACACGCCTGATGCACATGGGGAAGCGCCCGCGCCTCGTCGCAGCGCGTGCGGTTACTATGCAATTGTGGCGATGTTAACTCGAAAACCCAATGGCGAAAACCAAATGTAAACATTCATTCTCTGGTCGAAGGGGGATTTCATCTCTATGTGGAATGTCCGAAACTGAGTACACAATGGGAAGCGCGCGGCGGCGCAACGCACGCATGTTATACAATGGTGGGCTATGTTAACTCGAAAATCCAATGGCGAACACCCAATGTAAACATTCATTCCCTGATCGGAAGAGGGGGCCGCCAGAATGTGGAATGTCCAGATCTGAGTACACAATGGGAAGCGCGCGCGTTGGCGCCGCTGCGCAACGCATGCAGTTTGTATGCAATGGAGGCGATGTTTACTCGAAAACCTAATTGTGAGATCCCAATGTAAACATGCATTCTCTGATCGGA